ATGTTTTGAAGGACATTCTAGAAAAAGATAACACAGCTACAACTCCATGAACTCCAAAAGAAGGAAGGCACCAGGCAAGGCAAACAATTAAACAGAAGGGAGAAAAAGGAAGCTAACAATATGAAAAAGATAAGTCAATATGTACCAGTTATAACCATAAACATCAATGATCTCAAAATATCAATCAATAGAAACAGACAGAAAGAATGGGTCAAGAAGCAAGATCCAACAATAGGCTACAAAAAGAAACACATTTAATTTTTAAAAAATCATAGACTGAAAAATCAAAGGAATAAAAAAGATACTCAATGTAACAGAAACCCAGAACAAAATCAGAGGAGGCTCTTCTATTCACAGACAAAATGGATTTCAAGCCAAGACTGATTAAAAGAGAGAAAGAATGTCACTACATCCCTTTAAAGGGGAATAATCCAAAAGGGAGAGATAGGACCTGGGAAATGGCTCAGTAGAATAAGTGCTTCCCTGGCAAGGAGCTCAATCCCCGGTTCCACCAAAATAAAAAGAAAGGGGGAGGGGGAGAGAGATAACAGTCATAAATACACGTGCACCAAATACCAATGTGCCCAAGTACATAAAACAAATATTAACAGACATGAAAAATTGAATAAGCACTAATTCAATCATAGTGAGGAACCTCAATATCCCACTGCCACAAATAGATCAAGTAGAGAAAAAGCCAATAATTAAATATAAGAGGTGAACCAAACATTTGTACAAATGGACTTAGTAGATGTCTATAGATAATTCTAACCCACATTAGACTATACATTCTTCTCAACTGCAGACAGGATGTTCTCTAAACAGACCACATACTAGCTCACAGAACAAGTGTAAAAGACCTGAAATTATCCCATGTATATTTTTAGGCCACAGTGCAATGAAACTGGAAATGAATGGTAAAGGAAACTCCAATAACTCTATAAACACGTGGAAATTAAATAGCACCCTCCTGAACAATGAATGAGTCACAGATAAAATTAAAGAAGAAATTAGACAGTTTCTATAATTAAATGATAATGACAATACACAAATGATCAAGTGGAATTCATTCCAAGGATGCAGGGGTGGTTTCATAGGTAGATCAATAATAGCATACTAGAAATTCTGTGACATAGTGGAAGCAGTCCTAAGAGGGAAATGTGTAGCAGGGAATGCCCATATCAGGAAAACAGCAAGCACAAATAAACAACTCAATAGTGAACCTCAAACTTCTAGGAAAAGAAGAGCAGGCTAAGCCAAAAGCTCATACAAGGCAGGAAATTATAAAGAGCAGAGCAGAAAATAACACATTGGAGACTGAGACAATAATACAAAGAATTAATGAATCAAAGAGTTGGTTCCTTGAAAGATTAAACAAAACTGACAAATCCTTCTCCACCCTTATCAAAAAAGGAACAAAAGACTGAAATGCACACAGGAATAAAAAGGGAGAAATCACAACAGAGCCTGCAGAAATCCAGATGATCATCTAGACCTACGTTGAAAACTATTTTGCCAATAAAATGAAAATGCAGAGGAAATGGAAAGATTCCCAGATATATACTAAAACTTAATGAAGATAGAAAAGTTCCAAATAAAACAATATCAACCAGTGAAGTCAAAGATATAATAAAAAAACCTATGAAGAAAGAAAAGGTGAGGCCCTGACAAATTCAATGCTAAATTCTGTAAGAAATTTAGAAAAGACAACTCTACTATTTCTCAAACTCTTTAATGAAATTGAAAGGGAAGCAGTATTCCCAAATTCATTTCTGGTAGCATTACCCCGATGTGAAAACTGGAGGGCCCAACTAAGAAAGAGATTTATAGGCCAATCTCCCTAATGAATATAGGTGCAAAAATCCTCAATAATCCCAGCGTGGTGGTGCATGCTTGTAATCTTAGCACTCGGAAGACTGAGACAAGAAGGACTGTCATAAATTTGAGGCCAGCCTGGGCTACAAAGTGAGCTGAAGGCTAGCCTCAACTGCGTAAGTGAGACCCTGTCCCAAAAAGACAAAAAAAAAAAAATTCTTCAGTAAAATACTATCAAACATATATAGCAAATCATCAAGATTATACACCATGATCAAGTGGAATTCATTCCAAGGATGCAGGGGAGGTTTCATAGTAGATCAATAAATGTAATATATCATAGTAACAGAGCCAATGGCAAAAATCATATGCTCATTTGAGTACATGCAGAAAAAAACTTTTGACAAGGTGCAGTACCCATTCAGGATAAAAAAAAAAAATGTATAGAAAATTGGAATTTATGGTCTTTATCTGAATCTAACAAAAGCCATCTATGACAAACCAACAGCCCACATCATACTAAATGGACAAAAAAGCAAAGCTTTTGCTCTAAAATGAGGAATAAGACAAGGCTTTCTATTATCTCCACTCTTATTCAGCATAGTCCTAGAAACTTTAGCCAGAGCAATCAGACAAGAAAAAGAAGTAAAAGTAATACTTATAGGAAAGGAAAAAATTATCATTATTCACTTATGACATAATACTCTACATAGAAAACCCAAAAAACTCCACTAAGAAACTGCTAGATTTAGTAAGCAAATTCAGTAGTATAGTTGGATACAAAGTCAACACTCAAAAATTAATAGCCTATTGTACACAAATAACAAACTCACTGAGAAAGAAATTAGGGAAACAACATCTTTCACAATAGCGTCCTCCCCATAAAGAAATATGGAGTAATCAGTCTGACAGAGGATATAAAAGAACTCTACATAGAAAACTACAATACTCTGTAAAAGGAGATTGAAGAAGATAACAGAAAATTGAAAGCTATTCCTTAATCTTGGGAAAGAACAACCCATATAGTGGAAGTGGCCATACTTTCAAAACTGTTATACAGATTTAATGTGCT